AATTTGGCAGCCGTCTCCTCCGCCTTCAGCAGTTCCTCTGAACGTTGTGCTTCCACCATTGCCTTTTTTTCCTCTGCTTCTTTGTGAATCAAAGCTACTTTGTTTTTCATTTTTTCTCCGTATTCACCCTTTTTCTTCTCCAATTGTTCCTGTAATTTTCCATCTCGTTAAAAGGAAAATTTCAAATCTATAGCACTCAACCCCGTATCAATCGCTGCTCGATCAAAACCCGTTGCCTTCACCATTTGCTCGTGCCGATCCCAGATCAAGCAGGCAGCAGAATTTCCAAATAAAATTATTTGTTAAACACCAAGAACAGGAAAAAGGATAAATGGTTACCTCAATATTTTTCAATTTGGCTTCCAGGTTGGCTTTTTTGCTGTTCTCCCATGCAGATACAGCAGAAAGCTTCTTTTGTGCCCTATTAAATAGCCATTACACAAATATTTCTGTCATAATTCATTGCAGACATGAATACACACAATAGTAATTGTATTGTTGAGGATTATTTAAAGGAGAAGTCCCACGTTCGCTAATTAAGAGGAAGATCATGAGTTTATAAGTAAGGAACACTATCTCCATCGGTACGAGGTCTTTTGCATAAACTAAAAGGTAAAGCCACGAGAATTTATGCTACTCTTGTGGAGAGACGTAGTTTCTAAACTTCGAATTTAGAGCAAGGAAAGTTGCTGGTCTTTTTAATAAAGGACAAGATGAGACAATCATAGTGGAAACTGAGCCTTACTTGTTCTCAGCCTTTGATTTTTCACTATCTTCCCAGGCCTTGATGAAGGAAGACCTTTTCTCTTTTTCAACCTCCGCAAGAGCAATATCTAAGTAAAAAGATTGAGGATCAGGTCGGGTTTTGAAATATTTTACTGTTATTTTAAAATTATAAGATATAGAATAAGTAAGATTCGTGCTGTACGCTCACCCCTGTCAATAGACCCACTGGAAGCCTTCTTTGTTACAGGTTCTTCTTTGGTTTCTGTTAAGATCCGAAATTAGAGGGAAAAAGAAGTTAAATTATAGAACACTCATTGCGAAAGTTTCCAGGCTGGTTAATGCAATAAAGGTAACAGTATCAAACAATGTAAAGCCATTAAACTCAGAAGGAAATCACACAAAGTTATAATAAAAGTTTGAAGTGAAAGTCATCAAGGTGGGACAAAGGGCAATGCTATATGAACTTAAAGGGTTCAGGGAGAAACATTGACAGAGTTTGCTCAAATGATAGCCAAGATGTGATGGGATAAATCACTTTTGTTTTTCCCCCTACTCTCCTCATGTAAAGTTGGCTCCACAATTTCGAAACATTTCCAACCCTTATCGATTGTTCATTCACGGTGAATTGATAATAACGACATGTATGCATTGATGACAAATGAAGAGCCAGAGAGAAACTTCCATTGACAGTTGAGAGGATCAATATGACCCACCTGAATCCTATCACCTTATCAATATTCATTATTCACCAAGGAAATTAAATGGATGAGAAGTTAACGTACATGGATGACTGATGGCAAATGAAACCCATAAAGTAGAATGTCAGTAAGTTGGAACTTAAATAAATTTAATAAAACTCTTGACCAGTTTTATTGAAAAAAAGAATCAAATGACATAAAGGACAGCGTCCAGATGTCTTTCTTCAAGAGGACGACAGACACAGTAATGCATCATTAGCATCTTTAAAAGTATACATAAGAACAAAGATCTTGATTCCACCTTACCCGAACAGCTATTTGATTATTAATCATAATCATACAAAGAAAAAGCTATAGTATATATTTATAGCTTCTTTTTGAAAAATATCTTCCTTTACACCGATAAAGGAAGCAAATAATCAAAAGCTAAAGCATGATCTTCAATTTATCTACAACTTTAAGCATATCGAAGCATAAATTAAGGAATGGTCGTTAAAATCAAAGAATAATAAAACGTCAATGGGCCCAGTACAGCTAATCTTACTATTAACAAAACAAAGTGAGAGGAAAACTATTCAAGAGGCACCAAAACTTATTTCTCTCACTCAATGGAAATCCAGAAAAAAATAAAGAGAAACGAGACTTTCCTCGGTAAGATTATGCTGTAATTGGCAATAAAAGTAAAAAAAAAAAAAATACTTAACAGAGAAAAAACAAAAAAGGTGCTACCTAAGAACAAAAGATAAAAGTATGAACAAATAACAGTACTATTTTTTTTTGATAACATGTGCTGCATATGAATTAAGAGGATAATTTTCTCCCACAGGATTGCAGGTAGTCATCCAAAACTTCCATAAATGTGAAGGCAATGAGCTTACGTTTTACTTTTTCCAACGCAACGCCATCTTCAGAAAGAGATAGAATATCATCATAATACGGAGCTCATTTCAATCTGAATTGCAATAAATTTGTAGACATCAACATCACTGCCAATCTCTAACCAAGATAGCGAGCACTTCAACTACTACTAGACGAAAACTTGGAACATAAAAATTTGAAGAACTTGCAACTTTAGAAGAAGAAAAAAAATCATTGCCGTTTCCTTTGTTACTATAATTGATTTACTTCGAAAAATAGCGCTCGATTGACATTCTGCCAATTACATCGAAAACCTTGGATTGCCAATTGTTGTTCTCCTACTCGTTCTGATTATAATCAGAGCGAAAGGCAATTCTAGTAAGCAAAGCTTTCTCCTACACGGAATTTGAACAGAGACTATATCCATTTCTCGACGACCAAACTGAGCGAGAAAAGGCACTTCAACTAAGAATAAAGAATCTTACAATTCACCTAAGAGTATAATCAAGCACTTCAACGTTTTATAGTGTAATAAATCATTCACCATCAAAATCCCCGATCAAGGAAAGAAATGAGATAGAAAGGAACAAATCGATATCATCGCAATCCCAAACAACAATCAGAAGACATACAACGAACAGATAACATCCAGAGAAAGAAAGAAAGAGAGCTTACTATTAACGATAGGCACTGGAACCACAGCTTTTTCCTTATCCTCCACAGCGTCGGTCGGAGCTCCAGTCGCAACAGGCGGCGGAACTGGAGCAGGAGCAGGAGCAGGAGCAGAAGTGGTATCAGATTTTTCCGGCGCCGTAGACATCGTTCTCAAAATTCGTACCGCAAAAGGCAAGAATGTTCAGAAACAACAATTCTCCAAAATTTTTCAACAGCGGTAATCTCTCTCAGCGGTGAGCCATTATATATACACTCTGAGCTGAGAGAGCTCATGAGGAAAAAACGGTGGCGGTGAAACTTTACAACTGACAGTGGGTTTTGCAGGTGAGGTCCATGACTTTTGATGCAGCGCTTGTCTACCAGCCATTGATTTGTTTGATTAAGTGATTACCGTTGTCAAACTTTAATCCGACGGTTAGTGTTGGCGGGTGATTTCGGCAATCCGTTGCGATCAACTCCGCGTCTTAATCGTAGCTTACGGACAGCTAACACATGTAAATCAATGATATTTTGGCACGTGTCAGATTCGATGTATAGGTGTCGGCAACGTTAAACGTCGCCGTTTAAAGATTGCATTAGAAGGAATAATTGCTTTATTTAAAATGATCGTGGTCGACCCGACTATTGGGCCCATTAATAAATTATTTTTTGTTTTTGACCGAAATATATATATAAAAAAAAGTGCATTATTTATAAAAAAATTAACTAATTTTTTATTTTTTAATTATTTAGTTCAATGGTGAACATCAAACATCCACTCCCCACTACTTCTTCATTGTAGATTAAAGTAAAAATTAATATTCCTTGGAAAAATAAAAGAAAATAAGTTTCTATTATTTTGTAAATTTTAATATATGATTATCTATAAATATTAATTAGTATCTGAAAATATAATAAAATTTTAAACCCACATTCGTACAAAAGAAAAATAAATAATTATAAATTTCTATTATTTTGGGCTTTGTCTGTTGTAATAAATATGTTGCCGCATTTGCCCCCAACACCCCACCATATGGTCCAGACAATTAATAGAACTGCACTCCTGGATTTAAAATTTATTTTTTATTCTGAAAAGAAAAAAATATATATATTTTTCAAAAAAAAAAAAAAAAAAA